ATGAGGATACCATGACTTTGCTGTCTCTGCTGGGTCGGATCATGCGCTACTTCTTGCTGCGACCCGAGACCCTCTTCTTGCTCTGCATCAGCCTGGCCCTGTGGAGTTATTTCTTCCACACGGACGAGGTGAAGACCATCGTGAAGTCGAGCAGGGACGCGGTGAAGATGGTGAAGGGCAAAGTGGCGGAGATCATGCAGAACGAGCGCCTGGGCGGGCTGGATGTGCTGGACGCCGAGTTCTCCAAGACCTGGGAGTTCAAGAGCCACAACGTGGCTGTCTACTCCATCCAGGGTCGGCGGGACCACATGGAGGACCGCTTCGAAGTCATCACCGACCTGGTGAACAAGACACACCCCTCCATCTTCGGCATATTCGACGGGCACGGCGGAGAGGCGAGTGGGGGCAGAGGGATGGCTCGGGGAGGGCGAGGAGCGCTCGTGTCCACGCGGAGGTCACCGTGGAGCTGTTCAAGGATGGAGGGAGAGCTCCGGAGTGAGGAGATGCCTCCATCCCCTTTCTCCTTCCCTACCATCACCAGCCTGGTCTAAATGAGCTTATACCCCCCTTGCCCTTTGCAGCAGGAAAGGCTTAATTGAAGTAAAAGCCCTTGGAGGTGGGTCTGACGTGCAGGGAATAACGATGGCGAGCGCAAGCTGCCTGGAGTCGGCTTTTGTTGCAGGGAAGTGTCGTGTGATCTGATTTTTGGCAGAGGGCTGTAGGCTTCCCCCTGTGGGCAGGGGCTGTGCCCATCCGTGGGGCTCAGAGGTTTCTCCTCTAGGCTGCGTGTGTTAAACTGCTGTGTGTAAAAGCGTCCCCTCAGTAGTTCACTCTCCTGTGAAGACTAACAAGTCACTGCTGATGAGTTACATGTATTTTTTTTAAGGAATTGTGGTTGCACTGTGCTACCTACCCCTTCCCTAGCGGAAAGGAGGGAAAAGTTGTCATTCAGAAACTTTGTGATGTTTAACCTCCAACTTTCCAAGTAGGGTGGTTTCTTTAAGGTTGTGCTCTGTGGTTTGTATTACAGCTGGGTGGGATACATCATTCATTTCAGGTGATATAGGCTGAAACTGTAGGTTCCTCTTCCTTTAGGATTGTGGTGCTACCATTTAGCTTATTCTGGAGCACAAAGAGCATACTTGACTGTGGAAAAGAAATGCAAACGATGCAGCACAAAGAGCATACTTCATGACTGTGGAAAAGAAATGCAAACGATGTGGGTCCCTATATGACACGCTAACTCTAGCATGTGTTATGCCAAGTATAAGATGACATTAGGAGTGTTTTGCTGGGATCATGGAAGCTGGAGAGAAATGTCAAAGTTTTTCATGCAAGTAAGTGTTCCTTAAGGAAGGATAAGGCTGCGAGGGGCTGTATAGCAGGGGAATTTGGGGTTTCTCCGACTGCTTTTGTAATCTAAGTGTATTCTTATGAAAGTGTCAGCTGTGTCCAGGTGCTTGTGGAGCACGAGGCAGCGGTTGCTGCCCCTCTAAACCTGGTGTCTGAAGACTTTAGGCCTTAGACATGTATGAAAAAGCCTCCCTGTAAAGCCAGTCATCTACAATACGCTGTCCTGCAGTAACTAGTGCTTTGCCCACTTTAAAATAATAGAAAGACTTCAGATGTTAAGAATGGGCTGCTGCTTAAAAATTTTTGCTTGTGGTTGAATCCTATTGTTTTTTTTCCATCTGCTGTCAGTTGGGGCATAGCTGTGCCAACTGGCACTGGCATGTTGTGCCAGCTCCTGAATTCGGGGCCTTCGAGGAATAGAGGTAGAAATACATATATATTGCAACTTCTTGTGTATCTTCACTCGCAGAAGCGTTACCTCCGAGTCGTGTGTTTGGTAGATCTGCTTGTTCTCTTTCCTACCTATTTGGGATGAGGATGAAAAGTGCTTGCATTTTGTTTTGTGCCTTTTTCCCTCTTTATTTAAACTGACAGTTTTCTGTGTCTGAACTGATCAGCTAAAACAAGTTTGTGAGAGCATGTGTCATGTTTTTTAAACACGAGATGGTTACAGATAGAAGTGTTCTGAGGTGGTTACTGAGCTACAAGTATTACATAAACACTTAGTCCTCAGTGTTATGAAAAAGGGATCTTATTGCATAATTTATTTTTATATCATATATGTATCATATTTGTATCATATCAAATAATGCAAAGCTAAGAACAACTAAATGACAAGAAAGAGATATATCTATTTTGGGGGGGATGGGTGTAGTCTTGAGTTTTTGAGCTTAAACTTGCATCCATGTGGTACGTTAGGATGGTAGTGCTAGCTCTGTGGAAAGCATAGTTATCTTTTGTTATTCTGATTCCTCAGAGAACTTGTTCTAATTGATTCAGTGGCAAAGTGTGAGGCTTTTATATAAAAGACTGTCATTTTGAAATGCTTAGCAGATCTCTCTCCAAACCCTACTGAAGTGAACATTTAAAAAAAAGTCTAGTGTCTTTTATTATATTTCACATGAAAGCCTCAAATGTTCTTAGTGGCCTTTATTCCTCCTAAAAAATAGATGTCTAATCATTAGGGACATAACCGGTTTCTTATTTTAGTTTTTATCTAAAAATAGTTAGAAGAGCATGAACTGCATGCTATGCATACAGCAAAAAAAATAAAATAAAATAAAAAAAATAGTATGTTTAATCTAGGCAGGTTTTGCTGTTTTGAATAGAAAAGAGGGGAGGGTAAGGGAACAGCAGAAATAAATGCTCTTACTTAATCCAAAATAAGTAATACTAAATTCTGAGTCTACATTTAAACTGTCATTTTGGGTATCTTTTTAAGAAACACTTTGTCTACATAGATAGCGAAGCCTTTGCAAAGATTTAATTTTCCCAGTGGACTCCTGTTAATTTTCTTTTTGTGTTTTTAAGAAAAAAAGAGCTGCAAATCTATGCAGTTTGCATGTAGAACAAACTGTTGTATGTGAGAAAAATCTGTTTTGTGGCACTATCTGTATGGAGAAAAAAAATGAGCTGCTAGATTAATTCTTTCCAGCTCTATACAGGGAATGTGTCTCAGTTAATAACTTCCTGCGCATCAGGCTGAAGTGCAAGGATAGTGAAGCGTGATTCAAGTAATATGAATTACTGTGTAGTGCTAATTTATGGGCTCTTTGTCTTGTTTGCTTTTTGCCAGCATTTTGAATAAATCCTATTTTTCTGTTATGTGATTTTTTTTTTATTCCATATTAAATTTTAGCCTGATTAGTTTGGCAACCATTTACTTAAATTTTGTGGCTGACGAGAAAAAGATGAACAAAAAAACTATTAGTGCCCTATAGTACAGCTAAGAAGCTGATATGCTGCTATAATTAGTGGTTTAAGGAAATAATATTTTAAAGATGAAACTTGATGCATAGTGCAAACTCCCTTTTAGCAAAAAGCTAGTTTTACTATTTCTAGAAGATTGAATTGCAACAATGAAAATGTGAACTGCAGGTACAGGGCAAAGAAATAGATGTGAAAAGAAGAGGGGAGTCAAATAAGTTTCTACCTGTTATTTCACCGAGTTACTTTGGACAAGAGTTTTCAAGGTGATCTATGCATTAAAATGGATAAGCAAGCCAAAAAAGCCATTAATCTCTTCTCTCATCAGCTTCTTTATAAGGCTTACATGCTGTATTTATTCTTTTTTTTCTTTTTTTTTTCTCCCTCCTTTATTTTGAAATCTTAGGGCTACCTAGCTTGGAAGGTTGAGAAGTAGAAAACTAGTTAAATGATAAAATCAGGAGCTTGGAAGCTGAGCAATCAAAGTAAAAGGGTACTACATCAGAATGATTCCACTATTCTACCTTGCATTTACTAAAGAGTCCTTTGATCTAGTATTTAATGAATAAGAAGGTAGTTTAACTGAGTAGTTAGTATTTGATTTAACAAAAGTAGCCCACCTGATGTCGGCAATGTTATGGCATTGGCTACATTGCATATTGTTGGTTTGATAGTTTTGAGAAGTATTAGACTGAGAAGCAAGTATGACAGGCAGGCATTCGCTGTGCAAATAGCTAGTTTTTAACTGTACACCGGATCGTGTAATGCTGCGTGTGCCCCAGGACCTTGAAATCAGCAGCCTCAACTATTGGCAGATGTCTCTGGTTACTGGTTGACTTATAAGGACCAAAAAAAAGGTCAGGAGATGATGGTGAGAGTCCTGACTAGTGTTGTCGGAGACTATGGAAACGCGAAGGCTGGAGCCAGCGGCACTGGGCCAGCTGTGTTTACACGAGAAGGCTACACAATTGAAGCACAAGGATTTGAGAGCAAGACTAACTCCTCGCTGAGTGCTCAGGTGAACCGCACACCGCCGTCTCCGCGCCGAGCGAGCCGCAGCAAGGTGAGACCTGGGAGGGAGCCCCTGGCCCCGTGCATGGTCTTACGGGTTAGCGAGCAAGGGATGACTGCGTTCTGGGTGAAAGGCTTACTTAAGTGTAAAGAAACCTTATCAAACCTATATTTGAGCTAATCTTTGCTGATAACCTACAAATCTTACCCGTGGAAAACTACCTAGTGATGGCACATATGTTTTGATTTTCAGAGACAGATGTTTCTTTTCAGAGCTGTTAACAAGGTGAGGTGTCCTGATTATTTTAATGCTTTCAGAAATTAATAAGCTAAACTTTATTGTGAATAGCTTATTCTATGATGATTAACATCCCTTCAGATACTGGGCTCGGGAAACCTATTCCATTTAAATAATGGTAGTTGGAAGTTGAAAGGAACCATTTGCCTTCTGCTAGGTTTGAGCTAACAATGAGGTTTTATTTTTTTGGTGGTGTTTAATGTTTTTTCATTTTTGAGTGTTAATGCAACCTGTTAAAGAAGACAGCATTTGTTTTTCCTTAAAGTCATAAGGATGTGCGAAGTCAAAACCTGTTTCTAATGTACTAAAGTAGTTAAGCAAGCTTAGTGATGGAAAATTAACCCTTCCCACATTAGAGCTGAAACTGTTAAAAATTAATGGCTTTAGATTAAAAAAGTATGGATAAATCAAATAAGAGCTTTGAGTGTTGATGGCTATTATATTTATAAGTTGAAGTCTTTGAGACTTTGCAGTTTTTAAAAAGAAATTCCTGGGATTAGTGATGGCTTTCTTTTTATAGTAATATTATTCAATTTCTAATCCAGAATCCTCTGTAAAGTGCCTAAATATTTAAATAAGTATTTGTGCAGGTGAGGTCACATTGGTACACAAGTCTCAAATCTGCTTGTAAATTCTGCATAAGAATCTTGAAATATAAACCAAAATTATATATACGAACATTTCTGTCATTTTTGTTTAGTTTATGCAAATTTTGATTCTTCGATATGATTTTATGGAGTTATGATTTTCACTGTGCAAAGCACTCTTATTTTGTCTTTAACTTAGCCCTACTTCATGTGGTCATTTCCCGACCTAAATGTGACTTAGAATTGATTAATATGACAGCAAAATAAGTAATTGGAACTGGGGGCTCTTATCACTGTTATTCATAGCTGTATTATTGGGTGTAAAATTGAGTCTTTTTCAATTTTTGTAAGAATCACAAGTTAATTAAAATGGATCTGCTCACTTAACTTGAATCAGCGCTTCCACATTTGGGCACGGAGGCAGCCGGCAGGTTGCCTTTGATTCAACTAAATCAGTTTTGACTTAGATGCTTTTAGATTCCGAGCAATCATTCGCCTTCCTCCATGAGCTTGGATGACTCAGACGGCTCCAAGGAAGTGTTTGGGTGGATGCCTGCTCCGTGGCAAACGCTTGGCCACGTGTCCATTGCCATAGATGGGAAGGGTATTTCACAGCTCCAGGAGAGGAATGTCCAAGTGACAGTTGTAGAGTGGCTGATGCTTTTTAACCTGATATGCCTCAGTAACTCTTGTGGGCCTGTGTGAGTGTGCTGTTTTCTCTATAGGATACATAGATGTATTGAGTCTAAGAAGCGAGTAACATCTTACACCATTTAAAAATACGCTAATTGGTGCTACTAATTTTACTTACCGTGCAACAAGGGCAATGATAATAACTCACTACGTTGTCCCATTTAGCCTGGTGACTAATTTCCCCAGCCTGGACATATTATGAAGTAATATATTTCTGGGGCAGTAGGATTTTGATGGATTTAATTCTGTAGGTCCTGAATCGGGACACATCTGCTTTAATAGGGTGTGTGTCGGTGGGGAAAATCAGATTATTTTTGTCATATGAGATTAGGTAAAACAGCCTATCACCCTAGCTCTGTCTTGATTCTTAGGTTTTCAGTAGCTCTTGGTGACCAGAAAAGTATTTCTCTTCCTTCCTTGTTTGAGAGATCCCAATATTTATGGCATAGTTACGTTGTTCCTTAAAACTGAGAATTTTCTTGCTTCTGGCAGTCTTGCTTCTTAAACAGTCTCTTTGCTCCGTTGTGCTGCTGCCTGGTTTTCTCTGCTTTACCGCAGTTCCTTACAGCTCTCCTGGTACTAGATTACCTTGCTGGATGTTCTCTTCCTGAGCACTGGATTGGGCACCTTTTCCTGACACTAATGTATTTTGAGTTTTGAGGTTCTCGACTTTCTCTTAAGTGTGTCATGGGAACTGATGTACCTAGAAAAGGAATAAAATGCTTCCCTTCTTCTGTATTGCTCATTGGTTTGAGTCAATGTCCTTGAAATGAGAGTTCCCAAAATTAGTTTCAGGACAGCAGCTGCTATAATTATGCACAGAAAGACATAAGGCTGTAGCTCCACTTCTTCACTTTGACATCAGTTAAACCTTAGTCTTGCAGGCTAAATGAGCTCAGCTGCCCAAGATGTACCCTGTGGACCCTGCTGTACCCTCTCTGCTGCACAGAGCAAGACTTCTCACATGTGGGCCCATCTCTGCTGCTGTCTGGAGAACTTTGTGCTCAGGCTTTTGTCATGCATCCTGTGAACCTTGCGCCTTCATGTAGCAAGCACTGCCCCTCAACAAGCCATGCTCTCTACTGAAGCTGGTAGGGCCTTGTGCACACAGTGCTGGGAAGCCACATAGACACAGAACTTGTGCACCACATTCAGGACTGCTCCCTGTGCGGCCTCCTGCTCGAGCAGGAGGTAAACATGAGGCTCTTATTTCTTCAGATGGCTTTTGTAATTCCTGGATCGTTTTGGCAGGTGAATTCCTGCTCAGGTTCATGTTATGACGATAACATTTGCCATCGGCGATTCTGTTACGGAGATAGCAGTCCTGCTGGACAGACTGGTTTCTCTGGCACGTGGCCAGCTCTTTGCCCAAGAGACCTTCCATGTAAAAGCAGATCAGGAAGGTTTCACAACCCTCTGTTTTCACTGGCCCTGTAGAATTTTGGTTCAATCTGAAGGTAAAATGACAACAAAGACAGATAACACATGTTCAGAAGGACCTTTCCTTCCTAGCAAAGTCGCACGTACAGACAGCTCATGATCTCGGGGCCACTGTATGTTGTACCTAGAATCAATAGTTGCAACAAGTTGGAGAATTTATTTCTTTTGGGCTGTTTGTGTTCCTATTCTAACCATCTTCTGCACTCACCTTTTCTTGGCAGTGGTAGAAACTGCCCAGCAATAATCCCATGAACTGAACTGGCCCGTTCATTCACTGCTGTTTGGTAGAAATGCCCAGCAATAATCCCACCAGCGTTGGAACTAGCAGCAAAACTGGCCCGTTCATTCACTGCTGTTTGCTGCTGTTCCCGATGTGAACTACCAGAAGTGCATAGTATCATTGTAAAAATCCGTCTTGCTACAGAGGCATTTTAGATTCAGAAGGAGTACTAAGAGAGTTTAGGAATGATGTTTTAGGCCCCCATGTTTGCCAGAGAAAGCCTTCTTTTTATCTGCTCGCAGTGTATTTTTCAAGCTCTTTGATCAAAATTCACTGCGTATGTTTTGAACCTCCTGATGACTTTACATCCTTTAGGTGGCATTTCTATTAAAGCAATTTAAAGCTTACTGTCAAATGTAGAGCTTTTACTGGAAAAATGGTCTAGCTTTAAAAAAAATATGAATTTTGTTACAACTTGGGAAGGGAAAATATTTGAAGGCGCAGGAATAGTAATAAAAACTTGAACCAGGACAAGTAGAGAAGACCGGAGGGAGTGTTAATAATACAAAAAGCTTTTGTGGAAAAGTAATTGCAGGAAAGTAGCTGGAGAGTGGGAGCGCTGGGTACTCAGGTGGGACAGAGGCTCCAGCCCCAAGTGGAGAAGCTTCAGAGGGACAGGGGTACAAATAGCAGAGCAGGGGAGGGGCAACAGCATAAGTGGTTTTACTGGGAGCTTTAATGAGCTTTGGAGAACTTGTGGGGAGCTTTAATGAACTTTGGAGAGCTTGTGTGGCAGCATGGAAGCTACTGCTGGTACAAATTGATTGTGATGCTGAAACATTGCTGCCTGTTATCATCGCCGACCTTGTCTGGTTCACAGCTGTGGGAGCAGCTGACATCTCCAGCCAGACAATCAAAGTACGTGTTTTAACTGCAAAACCACAACGCAATTACCCGCAGCACGTCATGTCGGCAAGCCTCAAAACTCCCCTGGAGAAATGAACGCTTATTTGCATTTACTTGCACTGCTAAAATGTTATCCCTTGCAAGTTTTCTTATTGCCATAAACGTTGAAGAAGTTTTTGTTTTGTTGGGTTTTTGTTTTTTGTTTTTTGTTTTTTTTTTTTTTACCTTCCCAAACTTCCCTTTAGGGATAAACATTTGATTTTATTAAATTCTTTATAATAGCTGAAACTGTCATACAGTACTGCTTTCAATCAATAAACTTTTTAATATAATAAATCTTTGTTTTTTCATTCCCTCATAGATAGAAAACTGCTGCAGGCTATGAAGCATTTCTTATGATAAGTGAAAGTGCGCAGCCCGTAATAGAGTTTTCTGGTCTGCCACAGCTCACTTGCCCTTTTTTGAGCCTGCATTTGAAATGAGAATATGATTTATTTGCAGGTAATGTACACATGGACTTGTAACCCAGAACTGCTTAAGTTTTCCCTGAAATATGTTTTGTGCGAACACTAACTAAAATTGAGGTGTTGAAATATCTGATTGTGATAAGTGTTAAATAAAACGTCCATCTAGGGTTGTGTGCTTTAAGAATGGAAACTTAGTGTGAGAGTAGGAGGAAAAGGAGGACAAAAAGTGCTTTTCGTCTTAGCTTACTGAATGTTTATACCCGAAGTTTCATCTGCTCTGCAGGATCTGAGTGTGAATATTCTATTTTTTTCTTGCTAAATTTATTACTTAGGCCTTTTAAAAGATAGGGCTGGATGTAGGAAATGCTTTTAATATTATATGTTTTTTAATTTGATTGATATCTACTATGTGATTACAATGAGTTTATTTGTGCTGAGAAC